ACAGGCAGCTTAAGGACAACTGTCCATCACAGATGGTTGTGAGCCAGCCACCATGTGGTTCCTGGGAATTGAACTCAGGACCTCTGGAAGTGCAGTCAGTGCTCTTAACCACTGAGCCATCTCTCCAGCCCCTGCGTTTCTTACCTTATTGGTGACATGTAATCATTTCATATTATTGCCAATAAGTTTGTGTTCCATCTATGAATTTCCTATTCATAACTTTTACCCAGTTTTCTATAAAAATATTTATTCCTTTTTGATCTGAAAAAGGTGTTTTCAAGTTAGGAACTTGAACTCTTTTTCATTAAGGAGCCAAGTAACTACTACCCCCGACTCAGTTATCTAGCCTTCCCCCATAGAGGTGGTTTTCTCACTCTTCAAATGCTTTTGAAAATGACATGCTATTTTGCTTTCCACTGCTGTGATAAACACTATGACTGTGGTGGTTTGAATAAGAATGATCTCAATAGGCTAATATGTGCAAATGCTTGGTTCCTGGCTGGTGGAACTGTTTGAGAAGGATTAGGAGGTGTGGCCTTGGAGGAGGAGGTGTGTCACTGGAGGTGGGCTTTGATGTTTCAAAGTAGTCTCTCTCTCTCTCTCTCTCTCTCTCTCTCTCTCTCTCTCTCTCTCTGCCTTCTGGTTGTTGTCTCAACATGTTCGTGCTCAGTTACTGCTTGAGTGCCATGCCTGCCTGACTGATTCCATGCTGCTCACTTTATATCACGGTTATGGACAAACCCTTTGACTGTAAACAAACCTCCAATTAAATTCTTAAATTCTTTCTTTTAGAACTTGCCTTGATTGTGGCACTTTGTCACAGCAGTAGAAAATTAACTAAGGCAATAAACAAAAGCAACTTGGAAAAAGAAGTCTGTTATCAAGGGAAGCCAAGGCAGGCTCTCAAGGGAGGAACTTAGAGGTTGGAAATGAAGCAGAAGCTGTGGAGGAATGATGCTCACCCGCTCGCTTCCTCTGGCTGGCTCAGCGCCTTTGCTTATACAACCCACGCCGACCTGCCCAGAGAGAGCACACCCACAGTAGGCTGGGCCCTCCTGCATCCGTTAGCAACTAGGAAAACATGGGCACATGCCAGTCTCACTTGGACAGTTCTTCAGCTGAGAGTCCCTTTTCCCAGGTGACCCCAGGCATGAGTCAGTTTGATAGCTGAGCCACCTACTAAAATAGCATGAAATCTATTAATATTTTCTTTCCTGGTTTTTTATTTTGTAGCAAACATTGAAGTCCTTCCCTTCTCTTGGTTATTTTAAAAAGAAAATGACACCTATTTTCTTCTCTTCTTTTAATTTCATTTGCGTATGTATTTGTGCACATGTGTGAGTATGCGTGTGCATGCACTTGGGGAGCATATACATAAAACCTCATGGGTGTAGGGGTCACACTCAAGTGTTGCTCCCCAGTAGCCACCACCTCTTTTTAAGACAAGATCTCTCTGCGGGGCGGTGGTGGTGCACGCCTTTAATCCTAGCACTTGGGAGGCAGAGGCAGGCGGATTTCTGAGTTTGAGAGTTCGAGGCTAGCCTGGTCTACAGAGTGAGTTCCAGGGCAGCCAGGGCTACACAGAGAAACCCTGTCTCAAAAAAAAAAAAGACAAGATCTCTCATTGTGACCTAGGGCTCACCAAATAGTCTAGGATGGCAGGCTAGCAAGTTCCAGAGGTCCTAAATCCAAAGACTCATCCTGTGTCCGCCTCCTCGGTGCTGAGATTACAAGCGTGTGCCACCACACCTGACTTTTCACCTACATTCTGGAAATTGAACTTGGACCCTCACCCTTGCACAACCAGTACTTACCTGACTGAGCCACCTCCCCATCCCTCATAATTTTAGATTTTAAAGTCAAATCTTTTATTTATGTGGAATGAGTTTTTCTGTGAGATCTTGCCCGACTATGTACTATGGCTCAAGGCAGCAAAATACATTATATGAAACTTTCAGGCCTCCACTCACCAAGGAGCACTCCCTCCAAAGGCATCAGCTGCCACCAAAAGGGCTTCAATCCATATCACATACCACAAGCAAAGCCTTCAGCACCAGCAGTTTCATGATCAGAAGGCATACAACCATGAAATGAGGAACGGACTAGAATCCTTCTGGGTGTCATCTGATCAGACGAGCAGTCTCTCCTAGCTTTACATGCTTGTGTTTAGATATTTCCTTATGAGATAACAAAGGGCTGTGGCTTCTTAAATAGAAGTACCACATATGACCACCAGAGTGCGCACTTCGTCTATCCATTGTCAGTGAGTTAATTTAGAGCCCTTGGGGCCTCCTTTAGCCACAGAGATCTGCTGGTGGCATTTCAGAAGTGCAAAAAGAAGGCTAAGTATGTCTACCCTAATTTCCTGCCCCTCTTTCCCGGAAGTCCCACCTTTACCCACCTTTTTGCCCAGCAATTGGCTTCTGCCTCCTTTATTGACCAAGTCAAGAACCAATTAGGGAAACATCACCTCCCGCTACAGGCCATTGCCACACCCCTGAGCTATGTCTCCAGATCCCAGCGACTCTCGATGGTGGATTCTTCATCGGATTCTTTTCTCTAACCCTTATGCTGTCCAGTAGCAGACTGATAAAGTAAACCTTCACACTTCACGTATTAAAACTGTGGCTTTCATGTATGCTCAGGGCTAAGGCAGAAGGGTAGGATTCTCAAGGCCTGCCTGGATTCACGAAGAGTTCAAAAACAGTCTGGATAAGTTTAATGACAAATCTGTCTCAAAATAGTAAAAATATATAGCTCACTGGTGGAATATCTGCCTGGTGTGAGCAATGCCCTTCCTTGGTTCAAACTTCAGCACTAAAAAAATAAAAATAAAAATAAAAGGTTTGGGAACCTTCTGTACAACTTGAAATTCAGAGAGTCTGTCCTAGGTTTCCTCACAGAAAAAGAGGAGGGAGCTGCAGGGAGAGCTCAGCAGTTAGGATAGCCTGCTGTTCTTGCAAAGGACCCAGATTTGGTTCCCAGCACCCACATCAGGTTGCTCAGAACCAATTATAACTCTACTCTGGGGAAGCCTGTCCCTCTGTTGACCTCTAAGGGCATCTGCATGCATGGGACATACTCACATAGATAGACACATACTACGAAATATTTAAAAATAAATCCTTATTTACTTTTTTAAAACTATGTCAGAGTGGTGGATTTGTTAATCAGCTTGAGTGTGGTCACCATTCTACAGAGCATCTGCATCAAGTCATGTGTTACACTGTGTATCTTAAATATATGCCATTTTTATTTATTCAAAAGAAAAGAAGGGGCTGGAGAGATGGCTCAGTGGTTAAGAGCACTGACTGCACTTCCAGAGGTCCTGAGTTCAAATCCCAGCAACCACATGGTGGGTCACAACCATCTGTAATGAGATCTGATGCCCTCTTCTGGTGTGTCTGAAGACAGCTACAGTGTATTCATATATAATAAATAAATAAATCTTTAAAAAAAAAAGAAAAAAAAAAGAAAGGGGACAGAAGCAAGATCTCATAGCAGAATCCGAGAGCAACTTAATGTTCACCGGTTGAAAACTGATTTTACAAAATACAGACCACAGCAGAAGGAAAGGGTTTACTTGAGAGTTGCTTGACAAATTGGGGTGGGAATTTTGCTCTTCTGCCCCCCAGGGCTTGAACTTGCTTCAGATTATTGGACATACTATAATTATAGAGTTTGCAATGTCACAGCTGAACTGGGGATCCGACAGAAAGCAAAACCACTGGATAAATCAAGCACAAGCCAAGGACCATAGGTCTGCTAGCCTGGGCTATGCTATTCCCACACTGCTAGTTTGGGCTACGCTATTCCCACCATGCTAGCCTGGGCTATGCTATTCCCACAGGAGCTCTGGCTCACTTCTCAAAAGATCATTTTAAATTTGCTGTTTGAAAGGTAGGGAGGGTTTTTGTTTGTTTTGAGACAGGCTCTCACTACATAGCCCGTACTGATTCTGAACTGGCAGCAATCCTCCTGCCTCTGTCTCCCCAGTGCTGGGATCACAGGCATGCACCACCATGCCTAGCTTAGGACAATTTTTGAGCAACTAAGTTTCAGCTAAGCAGAATAGGGAAGAGCACAAGCTTCGAGTGTAACAGCTCTGAGTTGAGGTCACATGGCAAACCCTCTACACGCTTCAGTAGTCTAAGAAACAAAGGAAATAATCCAATTAAGTGAAGATCTGTTGAGATAAGGAACAACATGCCTGGCCCCCAACAGTGCTCAACAATGGCTCCTAGAAGTGCCAGAGCACCCTCTCCCCTAGAGGCAGACCTCAGATACATCTGTGCTGCCCCAAAGTGACTACATCAGAAGCAGCTACTTCTACAGGGCGGTTTCTTTTTTCCCCCATCCAAACTTCCATTTTTAGAGGCTATGAGCATCACTGGGAATTCTGTCTCACAGTGTGGTAGGAAATGACTCAGTTCAATCAATACTGTCCACTCACTCACCGGGTGTGGCAGCACGCACTTGTAATCTGGTACTTGGGAGACAGAAGTAGGAATATCACAAGTTCAAGAACAGCCCGGGCTACACTCTAGGTATCGCCGCTATGCTCTCTCAGAGATTGGCAGCCTTTCTCTCGACTCCTCTAAACAGAAGTTGGGCCAACAGGTCCAGGGGCTCAAGAGCCACTCTTGTGGGATGATGCCTCTGTCTCCCATCTCCCGACATGCATCTCTGGGTGGACTCAGGGCCCTGCCTCTCTTTTTGAGTCCCACATGACCATGCCCGGGAATGTTCAAGGGAGATTTCCCCTGGGACAACCCCTCACTCACTCACTCTGGAGCCTGATCCCTCTCAGGACCCCCTTCCACACCATGACCAGCCTTTATGAGCTTCTGCTGGAGCCACGAAGGGCAGCGGGAAGGTAGCTTAAACAAAACAAAACAAAACAAAACAAACTGGGGTAGTTAGCTTCACTAGAACGGGATAACTGCCATGGGCTGACCAGAAAGAGGAAGTGTGGTCAGGCTGGTGCCTGTTGCCTCCAAGGGTGAGTGAGGGTATGTGGGCGATCAAGCCTCTCCCTAGTTGTGCTTAAGTTGTGCCCTCAGTCCACAGCTGTCTCCCCAGCTGCTTTCAGCAAACACCCTGGCAGTCTAGGTAAGTGCTTCAACTTTCCTAAGAACAGTTTCTTACTTTTTCCTCCATAGTCATCTGTCCATGTTGCTGTTAGTCATGTGGCCATTTGGCGATTTCACAGGCATGGGCTGAGGGGACTGTTGCCTGAGGCAGTGGTACACAGCAGGGTACAACTGGAGAAACAGTGGCCTTGAAGAATCCATTTGACTTTGCTGCTGAGTGGCTTCAGCCATCTCTTCACTCCTCCAGTGTGTGTGCCAGGCATGATAAGTTTACCTCCAAGGATGAAGTCACCGTTGGGAGTGAGCTGTGTACAGTGTAAAGAATTATCACTGTCTGGGTAATGTCTGCAATATCTGGTATTCGATTGAAAGGACCCTCATTGCACTTCGGAAACTCAGGCTACATCTTGGTGCTCTTGGATGAAAGAATCAGAACAGTGTGGCTCTTGGTATCTTTGGCACTCAGCTTCTGGTGTCTGGGATTTATAAGGCACCTGCCAACCTTCAGAAGGTGTTCAGCTGGTGCGAGGCCTTGATGGAGCCACGTGCTTTTGACCTCTGGAAAAAAATCAATGTTCTCAATTCTTTTTTTTTTTCTTATAGAAAATATTTTATTTTCTGTGTTTGGGAATTGTTCCTGCATGTATGTCTGTGTGTCACATATATGCCTGGTGTCCTTAGAGGCAAGATGGGGAAGTTGCAGACGGTTGTGAGCCACAGTGCAGTGCTGAGAATCGAACTTGGGAATCCTCTGACAGAGTAGTCATTGTCTTTAACCACTGAGCCATGTCTCTAGCTCTTCAAAAATCATTTTTTTAATCCATGTATTATGCCACAGACCATGTGTAGGAGGATCAGCTTCTCCAGAAGTTTGTCAAGATAGAGTTTTTCCCCCTTCCCCCTTCTCTCTTCCTTCTCCCTTCTCCCTACATCTATCTCTCCCTCTCCCTTTTCCTCCCTTTCTCCCCTGCTCCCATTTCCTTTTTCCCTAGCAAATAGACGTATTTCCTAACTGAAGGCAGACAGATTTGCTAGGCAAGCAATAAGCTATGAGGACTGAGCGTGTATGGATAGAATTGAGTCCTATGATAAAACAAATCAGACTCAAGATTAATGTGTGGCTGTCCTGGCTTGATAAGCTATCATACTGAGACACACATGCAGCAGCATGACAGTGTGGGCAACTGCCAGTCCAGTTATTGGCCCAAACACTGTGTTAGCACATGCAGGCATTACAGCTAAGTCCCTAACGAATTTAAATAACAACAGAGATAGCCACTCATTATGCATAAGTACCCTCACCTCATTAGTTCTACAAGATCTGCATTCTGATCTGACATTTTTTTTTCCTCCAGACAGGGTTTCTCTGTGTAGCCCTGGCTGTTCTGGTACTCGATCTGTAGACCAGACTAGCCTTGAACTCAAAGAGATCCACCTATCTCATCCTCCCAAGTGCTGGGATTAAAGGCATATGCCACCACTACCCAGCCTGACACTGTTTTTAATGGAACACTAGCCATGATGTCATCATTAAATAGAGGGCTTGCAAGCCAGAATACAGAATAATGATGTGATTACAGTGTGTTCCAGTATGTCAATGTAGCAGAATATAAACTTCCTCACAGGGTTTTCTATTGAAATATCATTTTATAGCTGCACCTTTAATCACACACTGGAGAGGCAGAGTTAGGTTGATCTCTGTGAGTTCAAGGCCAGCCTTATCTACCTAGTGACTTCCAGGACATCCAAGGGTATGTAGAGAGACCTTGCCTCAACCCCTCACCAAAAATATATAATTCTGTATATAAAACAATGTCAGTACATTCATTTACAAGGACCTTGACTAACCCGTTCACTTTAGTAAAATACTGCATGTGATGTTAAAGGCCCTGGGCTGGACATGTAGCTCAGTGGTAAAGTACTGACTGTGTATGTGCAAGGGCCTAGGTTTAATTCTCAACATAAACAAACAAACACACAAAATATCCCAAAGGAAACATAATCCAAAACAAATACTTAAATATGTAACTATATTTTACATAAATATGTCTTCTTTAGCAACAAGTTTAATGGTAATAATGTATATTTAAACAGCAATAAGTAAGTATCAATTTACTGAAGTCATTGGCCCCTTATATAGTGTTAGCATGTGTGCATATCCTAGATACCTTATATAGTGTTAGCATGTGTGCATATCCTAGATACCCCCATGATAAATGCACTGCTGAATAAGCTATATCAGTCACAATACATAATTACAAATCACCTGAAATCCTTTGCTTGCTCTCCACATCCCTCCTGAAGCCCCCCAAGCCCTTCCAAGCTAGCAGTCTTCCCTCCAGCTGGAAGGTCCGTACTTCTAAGAGCTGAGCTGGTGACACTCCCAGGAGTCACAGTGTCTAGACTTTCTGGCAAAATATTAGAGTCCTCAGCAAACTCTAGGAGACAGGTATTTTAGTTTAAGGACATCGACATCACATTTTCATAGCTATTAATAATTTAAGAAATTACTGGTAAACAATGGCCTTTTCTTTTTACATAAAAATGAAAGTTATACATTGTATCCCATCTGACCGGAGAACTGAAGATTGACTCCAAGAAAAGATGTGCTTACGGCCATCTGGAGGACCCTGCCGCCTTTCAGCATTAGACAATGGGGGGTGGGGGAAGATTTAGTCAGGAGGAGGTGTCTGTACCTATCTCTTCTTCAAGCCATCAGAATAAAAGGATTTCCAGGCTTGAGGGTAGGGAGTTGACATTTTCTCCATTTTGTTTCAGTTTTACTCTAAACTGTAAATTACACATCTACAGGAAGGCCTTCCATTTTTATTGAGTTTTGCATAATATCTAAATAAAAAACACAATGCTTGGTATGCAAATGGAGCCTCAAGATAGCCAGCAGGCTGTTGTCCCCAGGGAGCTTCCATATATGAGCCATGGGGCTGTCACCCCCTGGAGGCCCATTGATTGGTCAGTTCAGGAATCTTCAGAATCTTTAATTTAAGCTGACAGAGTGACCCCCAAGAAGTCCAGGGAGGATGCAGGGAGTCTGTGGAACTGCATGTCCCTTGCAAGACAAAAGCTCAGTGGGGCACAGAAATATAGGGGAGTCCCGAGGCTATTGAGGTAGGCAGATGCCAGTTGGGATTGATCTTGGCCATGCTGGGCAGACTTTAGGGAGTTCATATTTCACTCTGCTTCACTGGCAAGGAACTCTAGGAAGAAAACAAAGGGTCATATTAATATGTGGCAGTCAGCAGGGAGCCAAACAGCTAAAACAGGTAGATGGGAGTCTAGAACCCTGGCTGGTGCACTGGAAGTGGAGATACAGGATAATGGATGCGAAGGCTGGGGAAGGAGGGGAAATGTGGCAGTTGAGCTTGCCAGCCTTTGGCAGAAATGGAAGACTACAGAATGAGCAGACAGTGGATGATTTCTGTAGCCTCACCCTGTCCACACTCAATTTTAAATTGACACTAAGTCTCCACAAGGCCATTTCCAGCACACATGGCAGCAAGGTGGTCAGGTGGAGAATGTGGATCAGTGATGGGTGGACAGGCAGCTAGAGAGGAACCAGACAAGAACTGCTCACGCTGACAGGCTTGATGAGTGCTTAGTTCCCTGTGCCTTTGAAATCAGTTCGAACCCTCATCCCATGACTTTAGGACTTTCCAAAGCCCTTTCTAGTAAGCCTGTGGATTAATTTAGGAGGTATCTCTTTCCTCCTGCTCAGCACAGGCTCACAGCTTCTGTGTACTGTACTGCACTGAGTCATGAACCAAACCCCTTTCCTGGTTCCCACACCACCAAAACAAGCCTGCTCAAGAAAGCATTGGTAGACACAGAGACCTTGTCAAGGATTGGGCAGGAGATGACCAGAGGGATGCACAGTGCATCTGTGAGCAACTACAGACTGAACACTGTACAGCCATCTTTGCCGCCATGCTTCTTCAGACTCTGTACCAGCCCCTGGCTTGTGCTCCTACTTGTCTTTCCAGGTTTCCATCTCTAAATATCCCCTTTTATGACACAGAGGAGAACACTCCCGGCTCCTACCAGCAGCTCAGCTAATGGGTGGGTATTCTGTAGCCTCCCAGTGAAGGGCGGTTGTCCTTCCCAAAGGTAATTCCAGTTGTAAATTGAGCATTTTTGGTTTGCTCTTGATAATGCCGGTGTCTGGTGAGCCTCTGAGCTCTTTCGCATGTGTCAGTCTCTTGGAAAAGTGTTGGAGTCTGTGTGGAGACCTTATGAATCTTGCTCCAGATACAGATGCTGGACACCGGGAAGATGAGGGAAAGCAGCCCACTCCCTGGGTGCCCAGCTCAAGGCCCTGGAGTGCTTTACAGTTCTGTGAATGTGTGTGACTTTCCAGGGCAAACTATCTTTCTCCCCAGTCCCGACACCTGCCCCTGTCTCTCTTCTTTCTTTCCTATCTTTCTTTTCTTCCTTTTCTTTTTTCCTTTTCTTTCATTCTTTCTCTTTCTTCCTTTCTCTCTTCCTTTCTTTCTTTCTTTTCTTTTTGAGACAGGATTTCTCTGTGTAGTCCTGGCTGTCCTGGAACTCACTCTGTAGACCAGGCTGGCCTTGAACTCTTTCTTTCTTCCTTCCTTCCTTCCCTCCTTCCTTCCTTCCTTCCTTCCTTCCTTCCTTCCTTCCTTCCTTTCTTCCTTTATTCTATACAGGGTCTTACTCTGTAGCCCTGGCTGGCCTGGAACTTGCTATGTTGTCTAAGCTACCTGGAGCTCACAAAGATCCACCTATCTCTGCCTTCCAAGTGTTGGAGATTAAAGTCATGAATCATCAGTCTCAGGAATTCATGATAAAGAATAAAGTATTGTCACTGGCTCCCCAGAAATGCTTTCTGAAGAAGAGCACACTGATCTGGGGTAACCATTGCTCTTCTTGGCTTTCCTACCTTGCTCAACCACCACCATCCTGTAGAACGTCCTGCTCAGTCCTTTCCACCACACAGAATTGCATCAGGCTCACTGAGGTTCCTTAAAAAGCCTTAGGCAACCT